AACACACCCAAAGCATTTGATCCCGTTACCTGTGACACTTCTCAGCCTAGTACCTTGGGTCCCTTGTCACCTGCACAGATGTCTTTCCCTAACTACCCATTGTTCTTCACTCCATCATATTTTTTATTTTCTTTAAAGCACTTAGCACTACCTAAAATCATCTTAAACTGTGTGCTTACTCTGTCTCCTGCACTAGCAGGTCAACTCTATGAGGGTAGGGAATGTATGTCCTTATTCCACTCTCTCACCAATGCTCGGGACATTCCCTGATGTGTCACAGGTGCTCAACATGTTTGTTGGAAACTGGATTAACTAAAATGAAGTAATCAAATCAAGCTCTCACTTGATACTTGCAGCATGACAATAATGTATACTTTTGCTCACTGCTGATAGTCATTGCACATTTCTATACAGGCAAGGGGTTGGGGGTGGAGCTTAGTGGTAGAGCACTTGCCTAGCTTGTGCAACCCTGGGTTCCATCCCTAACACAAAGCAAAACCATCAGGATGGGCCTTTGCACATTGCAGATGTTTGGGAAGTATTTCCTGTAGAGACCACTCAGAAGGGAGCCGTTTGACTTTGATCTCTAAGGCTACCACTTTCCTAGGGCAGCATTGCAGAGACCCAGCAGAACTGTTTGCACTAAGTACTGCTCTTTTAAATCTGTGTATGATACTTTAAATGAGAATAAAGTATTGTAGAAGACAGTCCTGACCTTCTTTTGTAAATTAAGGGAAGAATGGGGTTTTCCCCAAGATTAACAATTTATGGAATAAAAGGCAATCTAAATTTGACACTATCCAAGTAATTTCTGATATACAACACCACCTCCACTGATTAAAGTCATGTGATGGTTTTTCATTTGCTAGACTGACTCCTCCCTGCCTTTTCCCCACCTGATCACCACATTTAGTCTTTCTGGTCTGGTCATCTCATATCCACCCCTCCTCTGCACAGTTCTTTCCATCTTCCAGGGCCATTCAAAAACTCTTCAGTTCTGTGACAGTCTCTGCTGGTCTTTCCACTCTAAGGCTGTCATGAGAAAGCGATGGCATCTTTCTTTTCTGCACATACTCCTTCCTTAGAGCCTCTCCTTTCAGGATGAAGTTCATGTGCGGTACACCACCTTAAACCTCCTGCTGCCTCTGAGACTCTCTTCAGCTCCAGCAGGATAACTTCTTCTGGATCCCCAAGCTCATGCCTTTGTAGAAGCCCACAGTGTGGAGTGCATGGACACTCCATTCTTGTTCCAAACAAAACCTTACCCATAACAACTCTGGAAGCCTTCACTGTGTCATGGACTGTAGCTCCTTCCATCACGTTCCCATGCACACACACACTTCTTGTTGGTATTGTTTTGTGTGACTCTACCCCTTTTGGGTCCAAGGCATGGATAGCATCACTTGCTGCCCTGTCTATGGTAGATTATATTTTTCTTAAATGACTGCATCTTATCCTATACATCATTTTTTCAATGTGTCTTTTTGACATTGTTCCTATGGAAGGCTGGGAACTGTTGCTTTGCTTTGAAGGAAGGTGGAGCCTGCCTTCAACACTTGGACTGATAAAATGCAGGGGAAGTGATGACCTGTTGATTTCTGAAGCTAGGACATATCACACCACACATCTTCTGCCTCTTCTCTTTGGACTCAGCCAGTGTGTTGTGAGGATATGAGGCCATGTGAGGAGACCAAATGGAGAAGTTGACAGCACCAGCTGAGGGATCAGCTGCCGGTTTCCAAACATACATATGGATGAGGGAACCTTTAAGATGGCTGCAGCCCCAGCCACTGTCCAATTGCACGGAACTAGAGCCCTTTAATGAGAACCACTAGGCAGAATGCACTCAGCATTCTGAGTGATAAAAGGTAATGAACAGCAACTGTGGTTGTTTCAAGCCACAACATTTTGAGGCAGTTTTTCTCACAGTGACATCATTTGTGCATGACTGTCACTTGGCAGTCTGCACCAGTTTGATCTCCTTAGGAACAGACAGCAGCTTGACTCTGCTGCAATGACACTGTCCCCTGCTTCTATAAGTGACAGTTGAAGCTCTGCTGTAAGCTATGAGTGACTTTCCATTCTGAGCAGAGTTAATAGACTCTCTCCTGGTTTCCTTCAGGTTATAGTACCTCTTTACACCTGCTCTCCCTGGCCTTCCCATAACAATGAAGGCCTTCCTTCCACTCTTTATTTCCTGGTCTGACTTACAAAAGGACCTCAGAACACTACAAATTTCTCAGACTGAAAGAGTTCACCAGATGCCTTCCTTAACATTAGGCAAAAGTTCAGGGTTCTTAGAAAATATCACGTGTCTGAGAAGGCAAGGGAGGAGGTGCCCTTGACTGACCCTTGGCTCTCACTCTTTGAACTCTTAATGACTTTGATAATTTGAGGTAAACCCAAAGGTTGCCATGATGTGTCATTCTGCTGAGGCTGGTAGTTGGGTCATATGGGGAGGGTAGCATGTGGAATGAGTCACTGGGCTAGTGACAAAGCCACTGTGCCACCGAGACCTGCTCTCAACAGTTTCTCCCTCCCTACTGAACCAACAACCAGGGCCTTGGACAGGGCCTGCTGCATGGAGTTGAAGTCTAAGCAAGTCATCTTAGGCAGGGAAAAGTGTCATATATGGTGATATTTAGACATCTGGGGATTTGCAAAGATCTCCACACACACTTTTCCTAATTGCCAAGTGTCTCTATGCTCAGAAGGGTGGGGAAGACAAGCTTCATTGACTTCCCATGTTGGGAAGGCAACCCTGCCTCACAGCCTGGGTGTAGAAGAAATAGAAAAGCTCTCCTTGGCCGCTTTTAGCAGGTTAAATGGAGGGGGAAAAACACCTCTTTTGCTTTGGGCTGTGCTTCTTGAGATTTGTCTTTAAGCACTGCCAATCCCTGCCTTACCCATGTCCTCATGGGCAGGTGACCTTGCCTCAATGGTTGGAAGATGACTCTGAGGCATTTCTGTGCAAGGCATCATGGATTTGAGATGGGGCAAGTCCCTGGGGCCCTGAGTCACAGTGGGGTATCAGCAACTGGGGAAATCAGACCCTAAGCATACCCACATTCTGCATTTAGCTACAACTATCACCTATGGTATTCATCTTAGTCTGCAAAGTGTCAATGACCTCTCTGCATGGCAGAGAGCAGGGTACAAAGAGGACAAACAGTATGCTCATTAGCAATTTAAGATGTTAAATTGCAAGTTGTAACTGAAACTCTAAGAGACAACAAGCATCCAAGGAGAATTAGGTCAGTCCAAACCCTTGTATGATGGACAGATCCAAACATCACATGGAAGGTGTAAGCTGGGTGAAAGAGAAGGCTGCTTTTAGAGAGAGGATTTCTTGGAGACTGCTGAAGATACACCCTGCATCATTCTTTTCCCCCAGAGGGGAAAGAGAGTGGAAGGAATCTTGCTTCCTACATTCAGCCTGAAATGATGGGAATTAGGGGCTTACTCTGCAGAGTCACAGACTACACAGAGACTGGATTTTATACCTAAAGCCACGATAAAACTTTTTATTATTTAGGCAAAAGCAGCCAATGACACAAAGTTGCTTTCTGATGCTATTTCCTAAGCCCAACTTGTCTAGAAGCTTCCAAACAGTACTTATTAGAGTACCATCAGTGATTCAAAACCACAACTATGCCCAACACCAACTAGAGAGGCAAATATTCTCATTTGGCAGATGAGAAGATTGAGGTTCTCAAAGTTTAAAAAGGTGTGTCATGTCACAGAGAAGTCCTAGGCCCTAGCCTCAACCATGTTGACCCTTCTGGTTTGACATTCTCATCTGTATGATATAGTTCAGAATTATAGTTGTGAACTATGCCCCAAATCAATCACCCATGTATGAATTCAGAATTCCATTTCTATTGGTCACTTACTGTGCTAAAAACACAAGTACAATAGAGCAGTGGGTGGCACCCTGATGTTTACTGCCTCCTTTCTACCCTCAAGTAGATAGAGGCAAAATTCTGATAACCAGTAGGAAAAAGAAGGCTATTCAGTGCTGGAGACATATCTAAAGTGTGAAAAGAGAGCTCTAATCTCTATAAATTATGAAAACACTACAGTTCTCCTCACTTATTCACTGGTAGAAATATTTGCTAAGCTAGAAGTGAATTGCACAGAAAAAACCATTGTTCCCATTCTTGGAGAGACCTCTCATCATCTTCATATCCAAATTATTGGGTCTCTAACTCCACCTGCAGCCATTTTTTCTCATGCTGCGTGTGAGGCAGTTCTAGTGACGTAACTTCTTATGTGTAGGATTTAAAGGTGGAAAAAGTGGTAAGGAAGCTTCTCCAGGGAAGAAATAGGACAGGCAGACAAAGCTTTGCCAGTGCCTGAATCATGGGAACTGCTCTACAGCTATGAGCTCCCCTCTTTGCATATACTTCCTCTGCTGTCTAGGACTACATGTTTTTGCCAGCCCCAGAAAAGACTCACCCTGTTGCCACCTCAGGACACACATGAATAAGTGACTTTTGGCCTGGAGCCTATGTTAGAAGTCAGATAATCAAAGGGTGGTTTGAACTATATGGCAGAAGCCTCTCATCACCTTCTGTGGGCTTGATTTTCTCTAGGCTGAGAGATTTCCTATTACAAGGCTGACAAAAGAGCAAGCAGGGGTTATTATAAAAGAGCTGGTGATTGCAAGGCAGGGGAGTGACTGAGGTATCTTCTCAAGTTAGATTGTACCCCGTGTGTGTGTGTGTGTGTGTGTGTGTGTGTGTCTTCCATTTAGTCTGTGCTTCCTGTGGGTCAGGCACCATGCTAAGAACATTTTAAACATGACTTCACTTATTTTTTATACCTAACTTGCAGGTAAGGAAACAGCCTCCTGGAATTCATATGGCTTACCTGATTTTGCACAGTGTGAGGAGAGGGGATGTGCATACAGTCTGTTGAACTCCACAGTGGCACTACCTAGAGGGCAGACTGATGTCCTCCTAATGTCCCCTTCCCTTCTTAGCTGCTTTCCCCCTTACCCAGAGCCTTCATGTAGCCTTCAAAGTTGTCATTACTCTCCATTTCCCAGGTTCCATTCTGGTCCTTTGTCATGGTGGCAGCTTCTGCCTCAGTGTGGGTGTACAGTGGATGTGAAGGAGCAGGCTTCAGTGAGAATGTGTTGAAATGAGCTGTTTTTATAGCTGAGTGGAACAGGTTTATGGATCTGAATATAACAGAGTCAAAGGTCAGAAGCACAACTCAAAGGAACTTTCCTTTCCTTTGCAAAGTCCAGCAGGTCTGTGGGCAACATAGGCACAAAGTCCTGGTGTGGCCAGGCGTGCGTCCCAATGACCTCCACTATGCTCAAGGGCCAGGAGCATCTCATTTTGGACTGACTGGGCTCCAACTGAGCCCTTGGCCTCATACACATCACTCTATCCAGTTCTTGAGAACAACAAACACTCAGTGTCTACCTCACACTCATTGCAGGACACCAACACCAAGTGAGTAAAAAATGTCCCAGTTGTTGTCTAAAAGCCTATGTGAGAAAAGGGGCGGAGGGAAAAAGGGATATGGATCGCAAGTGGAAAATGAATGGAAGCAGGAGACCTGGACAGGAAGGGAACTTTGGGGATTCATCCTTCAAGGTTCATCTAGAAATGTTGCAGAGAAGGTCCCCCTCCAGACACAGATATAAGTTCTTCCATACAGCCCCCAATAGAGTACCCAAAGTTCTCTCCTGCAAGAACACAAAGAAAAACTGGCCTGGTAGGAGAGGGGACTGGGGACAAGGAAGGGACTGCTAATTGCAAGAAGCCAGGGTCTTGAGTTTTAATGGACATAGAGAAAGCTCAAATTCTTGAATTGTTACTCCTTCAGTGCAAATGTGAATTAGTCAAAATATTCCCAGATACAACCAGAGAACTTATCTATTTAGCTAGGAATCTACATGGGTTTTTAAAAACCTTTTGCCCTGAACTGACCCTGGTTTAGGGTTTGAATTTATACTTCTGGATTAGCATAGAATGTTTAAAATAAAGAACCCTGAGATTTTAATACCTTTAGGTTGTCAGTAAAAAGTAAATGTAAAAAATTATCTGGAAAGACATACTTTCAAATCAGTCTGAACAGAATTCTCTGTGATAAAGCTATATCAAAAATGAGCTTGTAATCCAAAATTATAAAACACATGTGAAACTAATCCACCAAGAGCAAGCATCAGCAGACATAAATAATTAAATTACACTTCATAGCTTCAGATAGTGAAATGATCAAATACAGATTATAAAATAGGCCTAAAATTACTAAGGAAAGTTACAAAGCACTTTACAGCATTTAAAAACTTAAAAAGAAATAAAATAGTGTTCCTAAAAACAAATTTAAATAAATAGTTCAAGAGTAGTTCCAGGAGTTCAAAACATAGTTGCTAAAATTAAAAAGGTAATAGCTTGTCTAAACAGCTGATTAGATACAGTTGGAGAGAGAATTTATGAAATGGAAGAGTCAAGAATGTTACTCAGAAGGTATATAACAGAACAGACCATGGGGAAAATTTGGGAAAAAATTAAAATTCTAAATTCTCCAAACAGAAGCAAAACACAGAATACTTATAAAGGAACAATGCTATATATATATATATATATATATATATATATATATATATATATGAAACTATTCGTTTCAGTTGCAGATAAAATAGGTCTAATCTGGAAATAACTCAGATTTCAATCTACAAGTTAACATACAACACATTGTGGTATATTCATACAGTGGAACATTACACAATAGTAAAAAGGAACTCTCTCCTGATATACACCACATGGATGAATCTCATAGAATTATGTTGAGAGAAAGAAGCTTGACACAAAGATCTGATACCATCCAGTTCTACTTACACAAAACTCTATGAATGTACAAATTTAACCTATAGTGATGTAAAACAGATCAGTGTTAGCTGGGTATGAGAAAAGCAGGTGGAGGTAGCCCAGGAACAGGTACAAGGGACATTTCTTGGGGAGAGAAGAAGGAAATGTTCTATAGATTGTTTGGGTTGGTGGTGATATGACAATTGTTGGAATTCAAACTCTATACATGAGATCTGTGCCTTTTTACTGTATGCAAATCATACCTTAATAAAACAAGTGCTAATTATGAATATGACTCATCTTGGCACAGGCGGGGGCCACAACAAAGGGACAAAAAGGCAAACTCTTGACTCTGAACATGTTACCTATTAAAAGCATGATGCATGTTTTCTTTTGCCTCTCTGCTTGTATTCTTTCAACAGCTTTACTAGAGTTATTGGATGGTGACTATAATGGGTTAAAAGATGTGGCATCTGTGTCTTCATATTGTGTCTGTCCCCTTTGCTAACTCAACCTTTGAGTCAAACCCTACTCAGCTGTTCATGGAGATACAATGATCATCTGAAAAATGCTCTTTGTCCAAGACTATAATACAGGGTATTATAGGCCCACTGCCCACTGGAGATGTGCGAGAAGTTAGCTGAGTGATAGCAAGTGCATGTGTTCTAAGGCTGATGTACTTGCTGATTGACTTGATGTTTGAGAGAAATAAAAGCCTGTGTATTACCTTGAAAATTTAAGAGTCCACTCTGGAGCAGTGGTTCTCAAACTGGCAAGCATCAGAATCATCTGTAGGACACATCTGAACACAGGCTGCTATGCTCCATCCCTAGGGTTTCTGCTTTAATGAGTGTGGGGTGGGGTACAAGAATTTACACTTCTACTGAGTTCCCAGTGCTGTTACTGCTGCTCCAGGACCATGTGAGAATTACTGTTTCAGAGTAACAGAAATAGAAGAGGAAACCAGAGGAGAGGAAAACACAAAATCTTAATGTTTCAGAGTCAGTCATATCAACTTTTGAGTCTAGATTTTACCACTTCCTAGCAATTGGACCCGTGGACACTGACCTTCTTTGACTCATATCCATTCTCTGACTTTCAGGGTCATTATAAGAATGAAAAAAAAAACTTTAAAAAAAACAAAAAACAAAAACAAAACAAACCATAAAGCTCCCAGCAGAGTTTCTGGCACATAATACGTGTTTGTTCCAAGATAGTAGCTAGGATATGGGGCTTAGCAAGTGTTTGACTTGTCTGTCATCAACCCTCAAAAAACATAGCTTCAGCAAGCTCTTCCACCCCCCTCCCATCTATGTGTGCAGAGGATGGAAGTGGTGCTGGGGGAAAGTAAGGGAGAGTGGATGAGAAAAGCAATGGCCACTTAACAACTCAGTCAGCAATGTCCCCTACACCTTCCAATTAAGGAAGATTGTCTGTCTTAAAATTGGTAGAGGAACCTCAATTTCAAAAGATCTGCCCTTGGCTCCCCCGCAACTCTGTCCACCCATACTAACAAATTACATACTGAGTGATTCTGTTTCTGATTTACTTACCAGAGCCTTTGTAGAATCCCTCAGGTGACTCCCAAACCTAGGAAAAATTGTCAGCCAAACCAACCTTTCTAGGTTGTAAAGACCTTTCTGGAGACTCCAGATAGAAGTGCAGATGTGGATATCCCTGGAAACTTGGGTCTGAGATCAGTCACCCAGCTGGGAGTGAGCTCATCAAAGGTCCCAGGAACCTGTAACGCCTTCAGGAACACGTGACCACAGGAGCAGGACTCTTGGGTTGGCCCTCTGCAGTCAGGCAGCCCCTCCCAGGTCTAGCTCGCCCAGTTCCATCTTACTTTCTCCTTCCCCTTAAGGCAAGGAGTTCCCTTGGAAGGCCAAATGCTCTCAGATGGTTGCTGTCAGCGTCCAGCAGGGTGCCATCCCTTCCCCTCCTCTTGGGCAACATCCCTATGACTTGGATATCTACCCAATTGCATGTATTCACTTGGGGATGGACACCCCTTCAGATTTGTCTTCACCTGGAGGCCACAGGAGAAGGGAGTTTGCTGAGCTACTGGCAACACTGGACCTTGTCTTAGTTTTTCATGTACATTGTGCCCCTTCTCCACTTTCACTCCAGAAGGCAGAGCAAAAGAGCAGGGAAGTCACAAACCCTCATTCCTCCCAGGATCCCAGAGATCAAATTGCTCTGACCCAGGAAGGGTCCCTTTGCACTATCCTTCCCACTATCTTGCAGTCAGGAGGAGATAGTGAGCCCAAAAGGGGCTGCCCCTTCCTCTCTGAGAGAGCTTTGAATGTCCTTGGCAATTCCACTCGATAGAAACTGCTTTTCCCTGACCCTTCCTTCCATTGAACTCAAGGATTGTCTGACATTGCCCACACCAGGCAAAATCTAAGTCTACTTACTTACTGTGTCTCTCCTTGAGGTTAGGGGACCACTTCCCAATGCCCATCACATGGTAGCTGAGGAAGACTGAAGTTCTGAAGACTGCTGGTCTTGAGTGTGAGTAGGGGCGGGTCTTTCTGCAGCAGGGAGCCCCATTTTTCTACATACTCTGGAGGTGGAAGGGCAGAAGGACTTTGATTCCCTGTGGTATGAGCTACCAGTGATTCTTCTTTTCAAGACTTCAAATTAAATGAAAGCATTGGTGATTTGATCAATAAGATATCGGTCCATATATTCTCCCACCATTTATCAAATGCCATTTGATGTGTTAAAATCAATGGAGATATGCCTATCCAAAAACTTTTATTATATAGTGTTTTGCTTCCAATAAGTAGTTTGATCCATGATTAGAATAACAATTGTGACCTTTTATAGAGTGTGCAGAACACTCCTCCTGGCTTGTTTCATTTAACTCTCAGTAACCCTTCCATGGAGGGGATGTCGCTGTATTTTCACTTTAAGGGTAACAAAGACTGGATGTGAGAGCCATCTGACTGTGGCATCTGTCACCCTGGTATTAGCCAGGGTTGATTTGGCTAATCTGGCTGCCTGGGCAGCTAAAGATACAGGGTGGAGAAATCGTCTGTCTCCCTCAGTGCCCCATACTGCAGGTGCTGCCTCCTGAACTTGGCAGAGACAAGCCTCAGGAACAGGTGTAAGTAATGGTGATTGTTCTGGTTCTCCCCTGCTCTGCACAGCAGCCTCAGGAAACCCAGGGAAGGCTAAGAAATTCCCTGCATTTGCACCAATGCTGGGCTCCTGCACAAGAGCACTGGTGTGCTTCCCTTGACTGGATAGGTTACTTGTCCCAGCCCTGGACACAAGTCCACCCTCATGAGGCCATGGGAGCCAGGA